GAGGCTGCCTGTGCACTCCTCCATTAATTGATGAAAACGACATTTCTGGGTGCTATCACATCAGCTTGATGAGTATGGGGGGGAAATAGGGGCTTTTATGGCATACCCCCCGTTCACAATATTTTTCAGAGACAAGGTCACATGACTGTACCTCAAGTTTTTGCCATATTAATCACCCTATTCACCTCCCCATCTTCCACTCTGAACCTCACTGGGATAAGGGGGAGGTGTTGTTCCACAGACTTGATGTCAGGGAAGCCTTGACCTTCTACCTTGATAGGACTAAACATTTCAAGCAGACTTTCAGATTGTCTTGATCACCGACAGAACAAAAGGAGCTAAAAATCTCTAAACAGAGGCTCTCTAGGTGGAGAACTGACTGTATTCGTAGCTGCTACTAGTCTCATAATCTCGAAGCACCCACTGACATACGAGCTCACGCTGAGATCCATTTCCATCTCCACAGTCTTTCTTAAGAAAAGTTCCTATCATTGAAATATGTAAAGCCACAACTTGGGCTTCTATGCAGTAATTTGTAACTCTGCTTCTGATACTGTGTTTGGCTCAGCTGCACTTCTGCACTGGACTGAAGCTCACTCCTCCTTAAAGGGGGACTGCTCAGTAGTCACCTAGAGTAGAGCACCCATGGAGATGCTACTTGAAGAAGAATAAATGGTTGTTCACCCTGTGCAGTAACTGTGATTCTTTGAGATGTGTGTCCCTATAACTGTTCCACTGCCTGCCCTCCTTCCCCTCTGCTTCAGAGTTCCCTGTCATGGGGCAGGCTTTGCAGTAGAGAAGGAACTGAGGATGGTTAGCCCACGCAGTGCTATATAACAATGCCGTGAGGCTGAGTAACACACATGCAGTGCCCGTTTGGCCTGTGCTATGAGAAATCTCCAATTGAAGGTATAGGGGGTGCAAGTGCACCTAGAGTGGAGCGCACATAGGGGGACACATCTCAAAGAACCACAGTTTCTGCACAGGGTGAGTAACCATTGCTTCTCTGCGAAGGCAGAACTCCTGGCTGCTGCTTCCAAATTCTCCACCCAAGAACCCGCTTCTTGTGTGACTATACTCTCATTGGGCCTGCAGTTGTCAAATGTTTCCCAGTGGGTGCCAAACCAAGAAATGTTGGAACAGCTGTGCTTCTAGGCACCCCTGACTTATCTGCTGATAAGAAAAACCAACAGATGAAAGCAGATGGCTTTGCCTTTTGTGTAAATAACTTATCACCGTTTATGCAAAGACTTTATAATGAAGTACAATTTACTGGGAATCTAAAATTGTCCAAATATGGAATGATTTAATTTAGGTGATTGGTTTTATCTAAAGGAAAGTAATTGTTTGTCAGACTTGTCCTTTTGTATCTTGAATGTGTTTTGGTTTTTTTAAATCAAATTTTCATAATCTGGGGCCCATTACTTTCTTTAAAATTATTGATTAAAGGGACATTTTCAGTAAATAACGTACCCTTATGTGTCCTTTAATTCTGTTACTAACACTTACGCTATTGTGATAATTAAATTTTTCAACATTTATTATGTTCCTTTAATTGTATTTCTCTCCATTTGAACAGTAAAAATAGATTCGCTGACTTCACGTTGGTTTACCCAATATCTAATCACTTTCTACTTCTCATTCACTGGCAAAGTACAACAGAGTTTGGGTTGCAGATGCTACATGGGAATGTTTCAATCCAAGCAAACTGTTCTCATTTGAAGATATAAAAGTGGTGAGAAAATGTCCCCACTTGTGTTTACAGACACTTTATTAACTCTGATAGAATGTAAAAATCCAATTTAGGAATTGTCTAAACATAGAAGTTGCATCAATTTAACTTAATTGATGCAAAGGCACTCTTAAATTAGTTTGAGTGCCATGGTTCAAAATATCAACTTTAGTTGACTGACCGACTAATTTTAGTGTGTTAAGAGCTTTAAAGACAGAGGCCTGGCCTGCCAAGTATTTTTTCCATTAATATTAAACTTGAAGCTAAGTGTAATCTCAGTATTGCTCTGATCATGATGGTCCTTCTCCCCACTGGAGGGCACAGTTAATCAGAGTTTCTAGTGGTGCCAGTGCTTAGGCCCCAGTTCAGTAAAGCTGAAGGTGAAACACTGATTTCAGTGGGACTTTGGCACATGCTTAAGTGCTTGCAGAATCAGGGGCCTCAGTGCTAGAATCTAGTAATGAGGCTGGAAGTCTGGTTTCCAACCCAATAAGTTACTTGGGGACTAGAAGTAAGGGGTCCAGGTGAGGTGGGCGCAATGGTCATTCCCACTGATGAGCTGCTGGTTTTGTGGGGTTTGGTGTTTCTTCTCTCCTATTGAGTAATTTTCTGTAGTATCTGGCTGATGAATCTTGCCCATATGCTCAGGGTTTAGCTGATCGCCATATTTGGGGTCGGGAAGGAATTTTCCTCCAGGGCAGATTGGAAGGCCCTGGAGGTTTTTCGCCTTCCTCTGTAGCATGGGGCACGGGTCACTTGCTGGAGGATTCTCTGCTCCTTGAGGTCTTCAGACTACAATTTGAGGACTTCAATAGCACAGATATAGGTGTGAGGTCTTTTTTAGGAGTGGTGGGTGAAATTCTGTGGCCTGCATTGTGCAGGAGGTCAGACTAGATGATCATAATGGTCCCTTCTGGCCTAAATATCTATGAATCTATGAATAATAGCTGGAGGCTCTGCTTCTCTCTGAATTTGAGAGAGTGTTTTCCTACCTTAACCCTAATTCTGTGTTTGGAGGATAGGAGTGAGTATAGGCACTGCCAGTTCTAGTGAAACTCTTTGTTTTTCAAAACCTAAATGTTGAACATAAGCTACATGACAATGTCCCTTGTAAATGAAAACATTCTTCACCAGGTTTATTTTAGTTCTCAGGTAAATTCTTACATAAATCTCTGTATAACTCACAAATTTAGAATGGCCAGATTAGTCAGACCTTACCTCCTCTTGGATTGGTACAACTTGAACGGCCTGCTGCATGCCATTGGAACAGTATTTTCCAGATTTGTAATAAGTTCTCTGACATGATGACCTTTGATGTGACCTGAATTTTGTAGTGAATTGAGTACCTGTTCCTCAAGTACTTCTGTGGACATTACTTACGAGACATGCAGATATGTTTACCTGCAAAAGTACTATTGTTAAAATTAGATTTGTACCCTTTTATACTTTATGGCAGAGGAGGGCAAACTACGGCCCGGGGGCCAGATATGGACCATCAAGGCTTTCAATCTGGCCCGCGGGTTTGCCAGCCCTGTGGGGCTAAGGCAGTGGGGCTAAGACAGACTCCCTGCCTGCCCTGGCCCCGTGCCACTCCTGGAAGCGGCCGGTACTGCATTCCTGCGGCCCCTGAGGGAGGATGGTGGTACCCACAGGTGAGGGCAGCATGCGGCGGAGCCGCCTGCCCCACCCCACCGCTAGGAGCCACTGCTGGACATGCTGGCCACTTCTGGGAGCAGCGCGTGGCCAGAGCACCCTGCCTTAGTCGCGCTGCATGCCACTGCCACCCTAGAGCCACTCGAGGTAAGCTGCACCAGGCTGGAGCTTGGCCCCTGTACCCCTCCCGCACCCCTGCCCTGAGCCCCCAATCCCCTCCTCCACCCCAAGCCCTTGCCCTGAGCCCCTTCCTGCACACCGCATCCCCTCCCACACACCACACTCCCTCCTGCACCCCGATCTCCTGCCCCAGCCCTACATTCATGGCCCTGCATACAATTTCCCCACCCAGATGTGGCCCTTGGGCCAAAAGGTTTCCCCACCCCTGCTTTGTGGTGTATGTAACAAGGGCCTGGAAGAGGCTTTTAATTTGTATTTTGTTACCTTAAAAACATCTGTAATGTCAAATCTGGTTTTCCATGGTTTGCTGAAGGATTTTTTTGAAGTTCTTTCTGTTAAAGCACGCTTTTTTTTATAGTGAAGCCAGAAATTGTGCAGGCGTCTATAAATCATGTGGAAACTACAAATGGCTTTGTCTTTGCTAGGATTTTTACCTCATGTTTGCTAACACTCAGGTTAAGAATGCACCAGTTTCCTAGTGAAGACAAGACCATAGTTTTCCAAGGTAGACCAGACGTGGAAAAAGAAGTAGAATCACATTCCCTCTGCCTTTTTATTTCTTTTCAGGCCATCTTGATTCTTCATAAAGTATAAAAAGGCAGTAACTCATTTTTTTCCCTCTTTGTAGTTCAGCTTTAAAAGTGGTTCTCAACAGGATAAAAACAGACTCTCCTTTTAGAGGACTGGTACTTATTAAAGATGCTAAACCACTTTCTGTGCCTTGGTTCTGAAGAGCATCATAGAAATTAAAGGTGGAAAACAACGATTAGTTCATGCAGTCCATCTCCCTTGAGGCAATGCAGGATTGTTCTCTACAGTTTCTCTCCAGTGATTTGTCCAATCCAGTTTGTAAAGTGACCATATTTATTTCTGTTCGATTCTGTTCTAGCACTTAAGGACCTCAAATACAGAAGAGGGCTTCATTGTACTAGGCACTATACGAACAAATACCACAGTGACAGGCTCTGCCCCCGAGAGTTCACAGTGTAGGTCAAAATGATCTGAGAAGTTGCAGGTGACTGCCAGCATGACCAGTGCTGGATGGTAGTAATTTGTAGCCATCATGGCAAAGACAGACCTATCTGATTCGAGCTATGGGACTTTCACCACCTTTCTTGCAAGACTATTCTACAATCTAACTGGACTTCATTTCAGGCAGCTTTTCCTGATATTCAACCTACATTTTCTTTTTAATTTTGTCCATTACTCCTAGCAATAATGTCACCCTAAATGCTCTGTTCAAGTACTTGTAGATACTTATCATGCCTACCCCTGAGCTGTAATTTAGCCAAGCTATATGCTACCATTTCCTGGTAAGTCAGTTTTTCCAGGCCATACTTGTTGCTCTTCTCTGTGCCCCTCTGTCACCAGATCAGGATGAATAAATGAGAAAACAACTTCTATTCTCTCAATAACTTTCTTGTTTTCTCCACAGGATCTAAACTGCCTCGTAAGAAATAGTAAGTCAGTTTTTCTTCTTTCTGGTATATTCCCTCCTCTCACTTTTTTGTAACTGAAGTCAGATGGTGAGTGCCTCTGTTTAAGCCACTGAGAGGTGGCAAAGTTAAGCATTATCCTGTTAACCAGCATTATGAACTATCATCTGCCTGCCTAATCCAAAACCAGCTCTTTCCAACAGGAAAATAGGAGTTCAGGTCTCTTTTCAGACCTATTTTCAGGCCAGAGTTCTTGAAAAGAGCAAATCCATAATTTTTTCACTTCTGTTCAAAACTGAGTCAATTTAAAAAAAAAATTATAGTGAGATTTTAGGGTAAGTTTGTAGTATGTAATACATATCCATCCCACACTATGTTCACTAAGTCAGCAGGTAAAATTAGATGTAAACTTAGTGCTGCTAAAAAACAATAAAACAATGAAAAAGTTGATAGCAGTGACTGTAAGTTAGCAGGCATGATCTTCAGCAAATTGATACAAAATGGAAACAAAATAAAGCTTAGCATTGGTATAGGTCCATTACTAGATATGTATGTTAAAATTATCAGGAATGATGCAGAAAAGGCAGAAGTATTCAATAGCTATATTCTATACTTGGGAAGAAACTGGGTGTTGTATTTGTGTCTTACAATGGAAAATTAAATACTTCCTATTCCAATGGTAACTAGGAAGGATATTAAACAACTTCCAAAGTTAAACATCTTTTAATCTGCAGGAATGGATAGCATACCCTCAGAGGTTTTTAAAGAATTGGCTAAGCAGTTCTATGAGCCATTAAGTGAACTGAATATTTAATTCACTGAGTGTTTAAGCAATCTTGAAGTACAGTATTGAGGAAGTGCCAGAGAAAAAGGCTAATGAACCAATATTTAAAAAGGGGTTAAAAGGGATGCTCTGGATAGGCCAATTTGCTTAACATCTGTCCTGGGCAAAAGCATGGAAAGGCTGGTGGGGGGTGCAATAAGTAAAGAATTAAAGGCTGGTAGTATAATTCATTCCAATTTGCATGGTTTTCTGGAAAATAGGTCTGGTCAGACTTGATACTGTTTTTGATGACATTACAAGTTTGGTTGACAAAGGTAACTGACGTAATATACTTAGACTTATGTAAAGCATTGTTTTAATACCTTATGGCACTTAAAATTAGCATTATATGTAATTGATATGATACGTAGCTAGATTTTTAAATCCATTAACTAACTGTTAGATCTGCAAAAGTAATTGTAAATGGGGAATCATCATCCACAGGGTGTGTTTCTGGTATGCTCTCACAAGAATCATTCTTGGCCCAATGCTATTCAATACTTTTATTAATGATCTGGAAGAAGATGTAAAATCATTACTTGTAAAGTTTGCAAATGACATACTAATAGAAGTCACCAACTAATGTGAGCTCCCAGTGCAATGGGGCGACTAAAAGAGCAAATGAAATCGTTGTTTGTATAAAATGGGGAATATTGAGTAGAAATAAGGAGGTGTTATTACCAGTATATATAGCATCAGTGAGACTGTTTTGGGACTTCAGAAAGGATGTTGACAAATCAGAAGGGTTCAGAAAAGAGCCACAAGAATGAGTCAGCATCTAGAAAACCTGCCTTACCGTGAAAGACTAAATAAACTCAATCTGTTTGGTTTTGTCTGAGAAAGTTAAGAGAACCTGAGCAGTGTAGAAGTACCTAAATGGGAATAACATTGCTGATGGTAGGTTCATAATTATTTGTTTCTAAAGACCAGAAGGCACTATTAAACCATCTAGTCTGATCTCCTGTATAACACAGGCCATGGAATTTAATCCAGTTATTCTGTATTAAGATAAATAATTTGTGTTAGATTAAAGTATATCTTCCAGAGAGAAATCCAATCCTGATTTTAAGACTTCATGAGATGGAGAATCTATTGTTTCCCATGGTATTTTGTTCCAGTAATTAATTACCCACACTGATAAAATTGTGTGCCTTATTTCTAACTTGAATTTGTCTGGCTTCAGCTTCCAGATATTTATTCTTGTTATGCCTGTGTCTTCTACAGTAGAGAGCCGTTAAGTGCCTAGTGGTGTCTTCCTGTGAGGGTACTTATACACCATAATCAAGTCACTTCTTGATCTATTTATAGATATGCTAAACAGATAGAGCTCACTGTAAGGCATTTTTCCTGCCCTCAGATATTTTTATGGATCTTGTCTGCACCCTCTCCAATTTTTAACATCCCTTTTTTAAAATGTGGACACCAGAACTAGCTGCAATATTTCCATATCAATCTTAGCAATGCCACATACAGACATAAAATCACCTCCCAGCTTATTCCCCCTCTGTTTATACGTCCAGGGATTGCATTAGCCCTTTTTGCTATAGCATCACATTGGGAGCTCTTGTTTGTCTACTATAACCCCTAAATCCTTTTCAGACTCACTGCTTTCTGGAATACAGCCCCCCATTCTGTAGATATGATGTGTATTCATTGATATTAGATATATGACATTATGTTTGAATATTTTGTATTCAAATTTATTTTGCTGAATTGGGTCCAGTTTACAAAGTGATTCAGGTCTCTGTGTATGACTGTCCTGAACGCTTCATTATTTACCTCTCTGCCGGTCTTGGTATCATCCACAAATTTTATCAGCAATGTTTTTATATTTACTTCCAGATCATTGATAAAAATACTGAAGAGCATTGGGCCTAGCACGGATCCCCGCAGAACTCCACTAGGAACACCCCCTTTCAATGATGATTCCCCATTGAGAACTGTTTTTTGAGATCTGTCAGTCAGCCACTACTTAAGTCACTCAATGTGTAGCTTATTGATGCTGTATAGTGCTATTTTTAATCCGAATGTTGTGTGGTGGTAAATAGGTATTTAACATCTATGCAGTCACCTTTATTAATCAAACTTGTAATCTCATCATAAAATGAAATCAGGTTTTGACATGACTCTTTTTCCATAAAGCCACGTTGATTATATTCCCATCCAGAAGGCTCATTAATTTAGCAAAACATAAGAGCCAATGGCTGAAAGCTGAAGATGTAATACTCAGACTAGAAATAAGGCAGAATTTTTTAACAATTAGAGTAATTAACCATTGGAACAAATTGCCATGGGGATATGGTGGAATCTCCATCAAGATGAAGTTTTTAAATCAAGATTAGACTTCTTTTTAAAAGATATGAGCTAGTTCAACAAGAAGTTATGGACTTGATGCAGGAATTACTGAGCAAAATTATATGGCCTGTTTTGACCAGGAGATCAGACTAGATGATCATAATGTTCCCTTTTTGCCTCAAAAATCTACAAAGAAAAATATTTTCCCCAAAAGACACATCAAGATTATAATATTCATAGTTCACACAGCACGACTGGGTCTATCTGCTCTTAGAACAGCTTTCCACTACAAGAACTATGAAAGAAAATGTCAGTGACCTTGCCAGCAGAGTTTATTGGTTTTCAGCCTGTGGTCTGTGGACCAGCAGACTGTCTAAGGGATCTGCGAAAGGTTGTTGTTACCATAGAACAGTATTTTTCAACCTGTGGTCTACGGACCCCTGGTGGTCCACAGACTAAGGTTTCCAAAGGGGTCCATGTCTCCACTTGAATTTTTTTAGGGGTCCGCAAATGAAAAAGTTTGAGGACCACTGCACTAGTGGAGGGCATGGTTGCATGCACTTGTGCAGGCCTTATGTCATCCAGCAGTGAGCCATGGTGGACATAAACACCAGCCACTCTAATACATTACCACAGGGGATGGAAATAAGCTTAAGAAACCTCTTTGATTTGACTGACAGGTACCTGCATGGACCAAAGCTGGTTACAGGTTTCCACGTGGACGCCCTCCGCTCCCAGTGTTCTTGATGTCCACTCTGATGTTTTCCATGATGAGGGAAAATGGCTTCCTGTGCTGCGGATAGAGTGGAAGCTGGCTACTGATGGTAAGCCATCACTTAACATAGACATGGAAGGGAAGGTCCTTAGAGAAATTATGGAATCTCTGAAAGAGAGTGATTGGATGGTAGTATTTGCGGTCATTCACTGGTCCAGCTGTGGAAGTCGAGCTTTGAGATGGGTTTTGGACAGCTTGTCTACTGGGTCAGAGGACATGAAGTGAGTAAATGTTAGTGCAGTTCTCCCTCCCTTATTACTTAGTCTTCAACAGAGATCAAATGGTGGTGTTAGAATGGAAGGGCAGCAGTTAATGTGGAAAAAATAAAGCACAACAGTGGTGCTTAACTTTACCAAGCTGAGGGTGGGCTCCCAGTGCAGTCGGTGTCTGATAAAGACCTGCAGTCCAAAGCCCTAAACTGGGATCATGATAGTCTGTTTTTTTAATCAAGTTTATATTTCATAGATGATACTTTGAAAATCTCAACTACAGTATTGAGTGAGGTTTACTCCAAACTGATCCTGAATGTGCAGATGGATCTTACAAACTAGGTTTACAAATGTGCACAGACTGATGGCAAGAGGAACTAGCTAGAAAACATTCTGTTTACTAGAAGCTGAGAATTGTTTAAGGGTTGAAGGGCTCATAATAGTAAAAAGACATGTCTACAAAACCAGAAGTTGGGGAAGGCCCGATGGAAAGGAGAAGTGAGGGAAGGAGTAGACTTATATTTACTCTGCCTGGACAGACTCCTAACGTGTAGTATTCATAGCTTTATATACCTTCTTGTACTATGAATAGTACAGGTTAGGAGTCTGTCCAGGCAGAATAAATATAAGTCACTTGTGTGCAGCTGTCTTGAATCCAGTGCAAGTTTCTTCCATTTGGAAAATCAAATCCAGTTCTTGTAATCCAGACTTCCTACATATATGTGTGTCTTGGTTCTCACCAGATGCTCTGTAGCTGCGCACCTTGTGAAATTCATGCCAGTGACAATAAGGGTTAGTGTGTGGGACCATTTCAGGTTTTGCCCTCCAGCTTTCTCCCTTCACTCTTCAAGCATATTTGATTTTCACAGACTTGGGAAATCCCCTTTGCACACACTAGTCAGCCTAAACTGACTGTTGCTGGAGTCAGGGTGAACAATACTGGGTGTCTGCTGAGTCAAGTGGTGCACTCCAGAGTTGCCTGAGCACTGGTCCAAACACATTTTTGTACCACTATAACTACATCAGTTTATCATAGGGGTAGCCCTGTTAGTCTGTAGCCACAAAAATAAAACAAATGCCTTTTTTTACATCAGTTTAGAAACAGATATAGTTAGAGGGCCGTACTGTTTTAGTTTGGATTCAGGTATAAATCTGCTGACATTAGTATAACTTATTTCTATACATTTACATTTCTATACATTTACAGAAATAAGCTATTCTAATACAAGTACCTTTTATAACTGTGTCCCGACTAGAGGGTGGTACTGCTTTAACTATGCTTATTTCTAAAATGATAGTTATAATGGTACAAAAACTGTGTAGACCCACCCTGAGATGCAAGGCTGGAGGACATGGGGGAGCTGATTATAGCACTGAGATACTCTGAGGTGAAGTTAGAGGGTTGGATTTATCTACTAGACGTACTTTCTGCTCCCTGTTCATGCAGCACAAGTGCATTTTGCATTATGAATAAAACGGAACTTCTCAGCCTCTGATATCATGACCCCACATTCACCTACTTGCAGCTAGTCTCCTTAAGATCCCACTCCAGAATCTTTCGTGCCAGTTCCCATGGCACTTCATTTAAGTGCCCCACAAACTGACGCAGCAGTTATGAGCTGCTCTTGTCATGTGAAGGTAGCTGACAGCAAGGGATTTAGTAAATCTGCTTTATCAGATGGGATAGAGTGAATGGGAGTGGACTTGTGACCTATCCCGGGCATGCTGGCAATCTCTGGGGCTGGGGTGAGGTAAGATCTTTAGATTTGGAATTGCTAGAACAAGACTTTAACCTCTCCCCTTCACTATCCCTCCCACCAGCAAGCATTCAGTATCTCCAGGGAGTGGAGCTGGCTGTGCTACAAGTGAATAATAATCGACAAATCTGTGCCCAGTTTGACTTTCAGAACAGCCTGTTACTTCAGGTCCGTCCGGATGGAGGCCGGGTGAGTAAAGAGGGCTCCGACAAATGGTTTTCTAACCCACAGCTTTGTTTCCTGTCCACTCAGTCAAATAGCAAAGCTGCCTGTGAATAGCACAGAATGCTTAAACAGGAAGGATGGCCTTGTGATTAAGGCAGTGAACTTAGGACTCGGGAAGCCTGGATTCAGTTTCCAGCTCTGCCCTCGGGCAAATCATGTATTCAGTGTCTCGGTTCCCTATCTGTAAAATGGGGACAATGTCGGTGCTCGCTTTTCCCACACTTCTGTAGTTTGGATTGTACCTGCCCTCCTGGGCAACTGGGACTATGCCAGTGCAGACTAGCCCTTAGTAATACAATACTAAAGTGCTGCTGCGGCAGCCCTTTAACTGCCTTGTGTGGTCGCGGTGCAGCGCTGGGAGTGAGCTCTCCCGGCGCTCTAAAAATCCCACCTGCATGAGGGGCGTAGCTCCCAGCGCGGCTCCCAGCACTAGGGGCACTGTCTACACTGGTGCTTTACAGAGCTGAAACTTGCTGCGCTCGGGGAGTGTTTTTTCACATCCCTGAGCGAGAAAGTTACAGTGCTGTAAATTGCCAGTGTAGACAAGCCCTATGTATGTGTACACTGTCTAGCAGAGTGGAGCTTCTGGATGCTACTGTAATACAAATAATCTTAGCAATCATTGCTTCATCTATGGTAGTCATGGCATTTATAGCATAATTTTAATTCACTCTTTCCTTATGCCCCAAATCCTCTTTTTTCCTTTTTTTTCTTTTTTACCACACCGTGGAAGAAAGCACTGGGATAAGAGGGATCAAAGTCTTTCCCCACCCCTTATCATTCATTAAGGTCTTTATTCAGAGAGAAGCTGAGTACCCACAATTTCTACTGAGGATAATAGTATTTACAGGTGCACAGTACCTCTTAAGATCACTAAGCACACTGTGGAGAAAAACGCTGGCCTACAGGAGCATAGTGACTTTCCCTAGAATTTTGACATCTTCACTGATGTAAAGAGCATTGTGGGTAATGATATAGAAGTGAGAAACACCAAGTCAAAGCAATTAGCTATCCATATGAATATGTACACTTACAGAGCACTGCAGAATTTATTCTGGTTTGCACAATTTCACTCATACATACTGTATTGGTGGGTATAAATACTTTTTTCCCTTAACTTCCCCATTATTACTTAACCTCTCCTCAACCTGGAACATAACTGAAATCTGTCCAGACAATTAAGTGATTTCTGGGTTGTGATTCCCCCATTTCAGCCCAGAGTTTCCATATAGTGACTTAGACCTCCCCAAAAATAACCACACCCTTCGCGTTCTGAACAGGCACATGGAGATGGGGCCAGGGGAATTCTGGACAGGTTTAATTAGCTTGGAGTCCATTTCTCACCCTAGTTGCCAAAAAAGATGAAGAATGGGGGGACAGAACAGGATCAGTTATTAATTTCAGTGTCTTGACAGATCAGTTGTCTGATAAAGACCCTATCCTCATCCTCTGTTTCAGTGGAACTTCACTTTCAACCGCTTTGAGGTGGAGCCTGGCCAGATGTACCAAGTGACTGTCCATCATCTGCCCAAACTGGGCACCAGTGGAGACCACAACTGCAAATCCACATCTTACACGGTGCCTGGTAGGGGGTCCTCTAATGCCTTTTATTAAGCCTTCAGATGGAAACATTGGTTTGCCAGTACTGAGAACAGGCTCATTTCCAGGCCAGACCAGATCAAACAAACTGGAATATGACTCATGAACAAGCATAGTTAGGGAGCCAGATTGCTGATAGAATTGTCAGACCTGCTCTCTTCTCCTACTGCAAAAAGTAAACGTTCAGTCCACGCTTTCACAGTGCTACTGTGGTTCCTCCACAAAGTACGTACACCAGGTCCTGTGCTGCAGCACACTATACCCTTCACATTCAGGCTTTCAGAAGCCTATATAGTTAGTGTCGCAGACCCCAGAAATATAAAGCTCTGCTTGGAGAGTAGAGTGCAGAGAATAAACTTTCACTCTAGATAACAGTGGCTGCTGTGGAGGGAGACGTGCACAAGTCATTATGTGTTCCATGAAAAGCTGGGCTGAAATTCTTTGGTCTGGTTCCTGGATTCTGCAGGGTTCCAGTGTGGTAAACTGGAAATTCTGAAGCAGTTTCAGATAAAGTGTTTTAAAAATTGAGATTCAGAATTAAATATGAAAAATAATGGCCAATACAGTAGCCAATCTGGGCAACAGTGTGGATTCTGGAGTAAATGCATTTGTTGGGTGTTTCTGCTAAAATGCTCAGCAGTGAAATAAGTGAAGTGACCCCTGTTGAGGTGAATGAGGCAGTTCACACCTGTGAGCTAATCTTTCAGGCTCTCTACAAACTAGAAACAGCACTGCATGCGTTTCACTTTGTCAGTTATCTTCATAACCATGAGGGCTAAAAACATAAGCCAAAGTTTTCAAACCAGAGTGCCTACAATTAGGCTTCTAAAGTCATATTTAGGGGAAGATTGTCAAAGGCAAAATTGGAGATAGGCAGTCAACTCCTGGTGGCTCAGTAGGGTTAGTTAGGTACCTAACATCCCTTTGTGCCTTTGAAAATTTCCCCCTAAAAAGATTTTTCACAGGAACTCCACTGACTACACTGGCCACTTTATTTAGGCTCCTAAAATTTGATTTAGGAGCTTAATTTAGGCACGTAGGCTTGAAAATTTGCCCATAATTTATTTTAATAGGAGTTTAAATTCTGAACGCAGTTCTGCTGCAAAGGATGAATTTGGTAGCAAATCTGCAGGTGTGAAATCACGAAACTCACAGGACCCTGAGTGTGCAGTTAGGAAAGCAGGGTAGGCTCTAGGTTTTCAGATTTATGCTGGACTCTTACCAGTTGGAAATGGTGCCTCCTACTTCTGTCCTCCTTTGTTCCCATAAATCTTCTATTTTGAGGTGGAACTGAGCAGCAGAGCTCCCTGTTGATTGGGGCTTGGCTTATGATTTGTGGGACCCCAAACTGCAAATGAAAGTCAAGAGGTTCAGGTTATGAGGAGCTTTCCCTCTGCTGAAGGATAGAGTGGGCAGTGAGTTCTTCCTTCCTCTCCTTCCACCCACCCCTCCAGAAGAAGATGAGACTGGGTTGAGAGTTGTAGAGCCCAAATAGTCAGTTGGCTCGTATATGTTTGAGGCTGGGCCAGCCTGCTTGTTGATCTTCTACAAACTCAACAATCCAAACTGCCAAGTCAAGCTCAGAGAGAAACAAGGTAACTGCAGAAGAACATCAGTCAACAAGACTATTCCAGCGAATGGAACCCCAGGATGAACTCACTGGAGATGATGGCAGGACATCTTTGGTGGAGGGGAGGGATCTGTGGCTGTGAACCTCTCTACTTCCCGAGATCAGTATGAAATCATAACTCACCTCTTTAGAGCTTAGTACACACCTCCCTCTTTGCACTCACCTTCCCTCAGCAAAGGCTACAGAATAGTCCTTTGCCACTAGAAAGCTTTGTCCTGGAATGGTCCATAAAAGCATGACCTGAGTAGAGAAGATGGTCCACACTTGGACAGCAGTGATGTACTGCTTTTAATTATTGTGTTTAGTGACTAATTACTTTGGTGATGGCTGCACTGAAACAAAGGGCTCCACCCTTCTAAAGCAGACTAAAAATTATCTGACTTCTAATGAGAAAATGTGTATTCAACATTCTGAATTTAAGTGTAACATTTCTGTGCAAAGACCTAACAGACTGTCTTTTTGCTGCAGATTGCAGGGACCCTGTGATGAAAAGAACCATGCCATGTATGCGGACAGGTAAAGCGGGTCTGTCTCAGTCTGTCAGAGCTGTGGGAGTTGAGAGGTGACCCGTTTTGAGTGCTTCTGAAAGTTTTTATAATTCTGGGATATTTTATACTACTTCCAGGCAGCCTGTGGGAGCCCAGTATTGATGGCAAAAGTCTAGATGACAGTTCTCTGTTGGTGAGTTTTAACCCAGGGATGGAGTCAGCTCAATACCGGATCCATGTGACCAGTTTCCCAGATGAGGAAAAGCAATGTAAGGAGACCACACATGATATTTCTGAGGTAACCATCTTTCCTCTCACACTTCTGCTGACACAAACCAAAACTGAAACCCCTTTTCCACATTCGCTCAACAATCAGCATGAACCCCAATCCAGGGAGAGTTCATGAATACAACTGAGCAGTTATTTCCTAAGAGCTATTTTTGTGAATTTATTTTGAATTTGCTTGGGGAATTTTACTCCTAGGGGTCTGGGGAGTGAAGGATCAAGTTTCAGAGAAGAGCTACAAGAAAAATTAAAGGATTAGAAAATATGCCTTATATTGAGGGACTCAAGTAGCTCAACCTGTTCAGTTTAGCAAAAGAGATTGCGGGGTGATTTGATCAGTCTAGAACAGGGGTCTCAAACACGCGGCCCATGGAGTTATTTGCTGCAGCCCACCAAGCTCCCTGCGCCCCCCCCCGCTGAGTTATTTCCTGCAGCTGCCAAGCTCCCCTCACCTGCCCCCCCCTCCCACCAGCGCGCTGTGTCCCCACTCCTCTACCTACCTCCAGGTGCTTCCCACTGCCAAACAGCTGTTTGGCAGCGCTTAGCATGTGGCTCCCCTGTAAAGCGCTCAGGGGAGGAGGCGGAGAAGAGGCAGGGCAGGGGCGGGGATTTGGGGAAGGGGTTGAAATAGGGCCTGGGAGGGGGCGGAGTTGGGGTGGGGACTTTGGGGAAGGGGTTGGAATAGGGGTGGGGAAGGGGTGGGAAGAACCGGGGCAGGGCCTCATGGAAGGGGTGGGGTGGGGGCAGGGGCAGCGGTTGGGGGGTGTCAGTGATGTAACCCTTGGGCCAATGTCCTAGTCCTTATGTGTCCTTCGTGGTCATTTGAGTTTGAGATCCCTGGTCTAGAAGTACCAATATGGGGAATAAAAGAATAACAGGGCTCTTCAGTCTAGCAGACAAAGATCCAATGGTTGGAAGTTGAGACTAGACAAATGCAAACTAGAAATAAGTTCCACACTTTTAACAATGAGGGTAATTAACCACTGGAACAATTTACCAAGGGTTGTGGTGGATTCTCCATCACTGGCAGTTATTTACATCAAGGTTGTATGTTTTTTCTAACAGATATGCTTTAGTTCAAATTGGAATTAATTCAGAGAAGTTCTGTTGCCTTTTACACAGAAGGGGAGACTAGATGATCAGTAGACCCTTCTGGCCTTATAATCTATGAAGTTTGACTCTCAAAAGAAGAACCCCAAATATCAGTGTTGGGGTCTGCCTATCCTGGAGAACTTGTGGGGGAAAAAACTCCTGAAAATTGACACTATTTCCCATCCCCATGGCAAGGATGTAGCTAACAATTGTGTATGAATAGACGGGCCAATCTGTCCCATTCCTTCCATTCCCAGCATCCTTCTTACTCTCTGTGTATTGATGCATATTAGGATCAATAATGTGGCATGTACAGCTAAAGATAACTGGCAGAGGTATAAGGCCCAACTTAGAAACAAAAAGGCCCTGCCAATTGTCATAAGTAGGGCTCCGTGTCTGTCACAGAGGTCGCGGAAGTCACGGATTCCATGACTTCCTGTGACCTCCGTGACTTCTGCAGCAGCCGGTGTAGCTGACCCTCGGGCCGCCCAACCACCTGGGCCCAGAGCCAGCTGCTCAGGCAGCCCTGGGGACAGCCACACCGGCTGCTGCTAGAACGGCTCTGCAGCCAGCCCCTTGGGCAGTCTCACAGCCAGCCACACCAGCCGCTGTTCTGGCAGCCCCAGGCAACTGGGCCCGGGAACCACCTGAGCAGCTGCCAGTGCGGTGGACCCTGGAGTTTCCTCCCACTCTGGCGGCAGGCCCCCAGGGGCTCTCTACCTCTTGGCAGGGGCCAGGGCCATAGCAGGCCCCTGGCTTTTCCCCCACAGCGCCCCCTGCTCCAAGATTCAGTCAAGTGTATTTTTAGTAAAAGTCATGGACAGGGACAAGTCACAAGCAAAAAACAAAAAAAAATCACAGCCCCATGATCTGTCCATGACTTCTACTAAAAATACTTTATGATTGAATCTTAGCCTTAGTCATAAGGAATATTGTCCCGAGGATATCAGTTGTATTCCATAGTCCATAGATGTCAATCACTTGCCTGTTCTAATGACCCAAGTAGCAGTGCAAAAACCACTGTATTGAGTTTGAATTAAACAAAAGTTTGCACATTAAATGTTTAATCTTTGCTTATTAAATAACCTTAGTAAACACATTAAGATTGTTTAGTACGACCTTCACTTCGGAAGTCTCTGACTTAGGTGCTTAACCATGCAGTCTTAAGACCAGAGCTGGCAAAACTTTTTGACTAAACAAATTTTAGTAAAAAATGAGAACTTGGAGATACCAAAACATTTTGCAAATTTGTGTCAATTTTGAATTGTTTCAGGTTTAAAAAAAAAACAGAAGTCCAAAAAATCAAAACATTTTGTTTTGACGCTTTCTAAACAAAATGCTTTAAGTTTTTTGTTCAAAATGAGTTTATTTTGAAACGTCCTTTAATTTTATTTTAAAATAAACATTAAAAATGCTCAAATCAAAATAGAATGTTTTGTTTGACTTGAAACCATTTTTTTCAGAATTGCCAGCGAACCAGAATGTCTGTTTTCCCATCTCTACTTAATACATGTATTCAGTTAAAAAGAAAAGGAGTACTTGTGGCACCTTAGAGACTAACCAATTTATTTGAGCATGAGCTTTCGTGTGGCTCACGAAAGCTCATGCTCAAATAAATTGGTTAGTCTCTAAGGTGCCACAAGTACTCCTTTTCTTTTTGCGAATACAGACTAACACGGCTGTTCCTCTGAAACCTGTATTCAGTTAAGAGAGTATTATAACTAAGGCTAAGATTTTGTCACAGATATATTTAGTAATAAAGATATTATGGGCAATAAAGAAAAATTCATGGAACCCCATGACCTGTACCTGACTTCTGCTAAAAATATCCATGATAAAATGGGAAGGGGCTGGACAGACGCCAGGTGGCTGTGAATTCCAGAGCGGCCCCCACCCCACCTGCTGCCAGAGAGCTGCAGGGGTCCCTCCCTGCCAACAGCAGCTGGGAGCTTGGGGGCACTACTTCCTCTGGTGGCAGGGGTATCTCATAGCTCCCTGCTGCTGTGGGAGGCTGCAGGACCTTGCAGCTCCCAGCCGACGGTGCTGAAGTCACAGAGGTCTTTGGAAGTTACAGATTCTGTGACCTCCGTGGCTAAATCGTAGCCTTAATTATAACATGTATGTCCCACTGCTTGTTGCTGTGGGACCCTCACTATATTATTATTCCGTAGGGCTGCTATCAGCTCCTATTAAAGTCTATTATAAACTCTCCCTGTGCCTATCACCATAAGCTCTTGTGACCCACATACTCCCACTGTTCTCATCCTCATTTTCCCTCCCTTCTTCAGATCTTTATGCCATTTTCTTCTGCCTTCCCTTGTAATCCTTTTGTCTGTTAATCTCTGCAGAGTGGACAGCAGAACCGTGTGAATGTCACTGTCAAAATCGAGAAAAACTTAAAAGCCTGTTGCAGATACAAAATACAGGTAGGATCTCAATTCTTTTCACTCAAGGGAGGAGATAGGGGAAACAGTGAACAATCTCTGAATATTCGGTTGTTTGTACAACATGGAGCTCTGTCCATGACTAATCCCCAGGAAAAATTATGTATACTTCTGAAAGAATATCATACACATAAATTAATTCTCTATTGACAGTGGTTCGTCCTTACATCATTGTCACAATACTAATCACTCCTGAGAGAGACTCGGACTGACATAGCTGTAGGAACCCCTAATGGCCAGTTCCTGTCTGTGTATATGGAGTAGTCCCAGAATCCTTAATCTTTTAACATCTTGGAGAGAAAATTGGATTGTAATCTTTGTCTCGAAATTTGCAATGGGGGACAGGGTAAAGCAAGTTATTGTTACATCCAGTACTGTTTTCTGATTTCCTGATTTGTTTCAACTCCAGATTCAACCATTCTTTACCATTTGTGGCACCGACTGTCTGAGACATTCTGCTGTCATCCCGTGTCCCTCAGTTGCTCCAAGTGAGGACTCCTTTCCTCTACATTAGATTTACATTATTTTATTGGTGATAGCTGAGCCTTGATCTAACTTTCTGATCTATGTTTGATTCCTTTGCAGCTACATATCCTGCAGGTAAGACAATAACTCATTCCTATTAAAATCTTCCTTTGTGGTTATTTTCCTCTATATGTAATACAGATAATAAACTAACTTTGCTTGCATGTGAGACAGTACATGCAAGGTGTGGGATTATTCTAAGTAGTCACCCTGCCTCACACAGGCTTTAGGTATGTTCACTCCAGAATGCAGAAATCTAACAGAGCTGCCTTATTTTGTATTAAAAGAGAGAGCTTGTATATGATATATACACTGTGCATCTTTTCTACTTGTTTAGAAGTGTGTCACTTAAAAGAAAAGCAATGGGTGGGCAGGGGAGCATGACTGACTTTCTGTTTTGCTTGGCAGTTTGAATTTACACAGTAAAAGGTGCGTGTGACATACGAGGGCACAATGCAGACTAGTTAGCAGCTGTGTCATCCCTGACCAGCAACACTGGGTGCCTTACAATGCCTTGATGAAGTAGGTCACAGTCTTCCAGCACACAAGCCACACTGAGTGTCTGTGTGTAACTGCAGCCTACCAGCCACACTTGGGTTACACTCTGCCTCTCACTAGACTTGGTTATTCTGCATGGTGACCCCAGCACACACCCCAGTCTTAGGTTTTCCCCCCAGAAATGTATGTCCTGTACAGCCCAGGCCTCTTCTGGACATTAGTTATATTTAAAGTCCCTTATCTCTTTAAAAGTAATAATTTGCACACAACTTGCCACCCCAAATGGAGTTTTCCAGACAATTCAATTAAAACACACTGCATTAGATAAAACAATAAAACAAGTTTATTCACTACGAAGAGATTTTAAATGAGCACAAGTAATGAGGCATAAAAGTCAAAATGTTTACAAGAAAAATAAAGACAAAAGGCAACTGATGCCTAATTTAACAAACTATGTTAGATTCAAAGCAAAGTTTTCTCACTACATGCATTCAGCAGTCTTACTGACCAAACTTCTTGGGTCAGGACCTCTTCTTCCAGAAACTAGTAAATGCTTCCTTTGTTGCTTCAGGTGCTGGGAATGGGCAGGAGACATGTTTGTCCTTCCTTTTTATAGTTTCAGTCCCCCTCTTGAAAAACATTTCCAGCTGGATACCAGGAGACAAAAGGTGTATGGGAAAGGATGTTTCATGCTGCTTTTTCCTCACCTGCTGGAGATTCTTTTGTTTCCCTTCCTGCTTGATGACTGTTTGCAGCTTAAATGCATATTAAGCAAAGCACACATTCCTTTGTTCAAGACAGACCTATTTGCCAACTTCTGCCTGGAGCATGTGGTGTTAACACCACACAATGGAATCTTATAAAATCACATAGACTGTTGCCACATATGATTTATCAGGACAATACTGATCAGCAAACTATGAATTTTCACATGATACCTTACTAAACATGCCTTGTACAAAAATTATTAGCCATGTGTAGGGTGTGGACATGGGTACATTCTGTCACAGCTTGTCATATATTTTTATATATATGTGTACAGTTTGGCTTGTTTTTTCTAGTGTTTAAAACCCTCTTATCAGGTAGTGATAGCTCAAGCAGCTAAACGGAATCTTTCCCAAATTTCCAAAAGAATTTGCCTCTGGGCTGAACAAACACGAGACATTTCATCCCAAAATAGTTTAAAAAAAAAAACAAAAGAGCGAGAGAAAGTTAAGCATCTGAAAACAGGAGTTTAAGCGTTCTCAGCCATAACTGCTGTGTTGCTACTTTGGTGCTACAAGGAGGAATTAATGGGTTCCTGCTTCCTGCTACTTCCCAGTACTCTTGGGGACAGGATGCCGCTGTTCAGCTGACTTCTGGTGTTCAGTGCAGCATTCTGTTGCTGGGTGAGCCTCCTTGGCCATGTAAATTTGTCTTATTCTGCTCTTCTTGTGCCACAGATGATCCGATTATGTGGCTATACTGGTGTATCACTGGCATCTGCATTTTACTGGTGGGATCAGTCATAGCCGGTGCTATTTGCATGACCCGAAGAAAAGTAGGTAAGGATGATGTCAGCTGCGGAGTGAGACTCGGACACGCTTGTGATGCTCTTTCATTTCTCTTCATTTACTTCCCTGAATCCTTGTGTGATGCTCTGCCATCAGGGAACTGCCAGTATTAACTTTTCCTTCAGCCTGGGTCCCAGGGCTCATGTAGCATCCTAATGCAAAGCAACGCAAACTTTTTCCAGACACCCAGTTAACTGAAAGTCTCTTATGTCTCCTGGGGTTCCACTCTTGGCGAATCTAACACCAAAGAAATGGGGCTTCACTGTTCCATTCTGTGTATTTTCTGTGTTCCCATAGGACTGAAGCTAAGTTTCTACAGATCTGCTTCTCCAGTTCTGTGAAATGTGAGAGCCCTGCAGAACTGAAACTTCCTATTTAGCCAAACTACTGATGATACTAGATCTCGAGGTGTCTGTAGAAACAAGTTCTGCTGAAATATTTTGCATTTATGTAGCACTTCATCAGAGTAGTTTACAAAGAGAGAGTGAGGCACAAAGATTGTGACTTGTCCAACGTGACACACTGAGCAAGTGGCAGAGCTGGGACTAGAACCCAGGTTTTCTGGCAATTGTCACAATGATATAACACAACTCTCTGTGATGATCATTTTTGTCTGAGCTGGTTTGGCAAATATGTTCTTCTCTAGGCAGACAATTTGATGGGTCAGAGAGGAGAAGAGGATTGACTTTAGGTGCAGCCCCTGTCCTCTCTAGGGGAGAGATGCAGTGAGGCAGACTGCGTAGCTGGCTATCGAAGAGACTTTGGGAGTGGAGTCCTTAATCTTCACACACTGATTTTCACTAGGTTTGCTATCAGAGATCCCCCACTGCAAGGTGTTTGCTTTCTGGTCTTTGAAGGGCACAATCTAAAAACATAATTTAAATTTCTTTAGATTTGACCATGTATTTTTTTTCTTTCAGGCCACCAGCATAGGAAATACAGCAGCCATGGTAAGAGATACTTTCAATGCTGTAGGACAGGGGTTGGCAACCTTTCAGAAGTGGTGTGCTGAGTCTTCATTTATTCACTTTAATTTAAGGTTTTGCGTGCCAGTAATACATTTTAACGTTTTTAGAAGGCCTGTTTCTGTAAGTCTATAATATATAACTAAACGATTGTATGTAAAGTAAATAAGATTTTTAAAATGTTTAAGAAACTTCATTTAAAGTGTAGAGCCCCCTGGACCAGTGGGCAGGACCCGGGCAGCGTGAGTGCCGCTGAAAATCAGCTCGCGTGCCATAGCTTGCCTACTCCTGCTGTAGGAGAATCCCTTCATGCTGCACATTCTAGGAACCTGCCTTAACTGCCCTTTGGAGTCCATACTAGGATTAATTTGCTATTGATGTTTCTTGATACCAAAATATTGCTCTGCAGCTTTAAAGCTGTTCTCTTTAACCAAAAGGGACTTATGGGGCACTAGTGGCCTTGGACAGAGAACAACCCAGGTGTGAAGCTTTTGCCTTCCCCCAGGGGGCTGCTGCTTTATCTAATGAAATCCTTTAGAAACTATGGATCTGCACATGAAATGAGAACGGGCTGTGACTGCGTTTGTCCATCTGTGTGCCCTAAAGCTAAGCTTGATTTTTTATTTTTATTTTTTTTGCTTGTGGTAGAACATCAGGAGAGGGAGGAGGGGCCATGTCAAAGGGCCATCTCTCTGGCTTTGTGGAGGTTGGATCTTGCCATGTTGTATTGTTACTGCTTCAGCAAATGTTATTGGAATGAACAATTGTACTTCTTCACCTTTTTTCAGAGCTGTTACCTCCACAGCTGACTCCACCATCCCTGAGGCCCCGGAAGGTTTGGATTGTGTACTCTGCTGACCACCCACTCTATGTAGATGTGGTGCTGAAGTTTGCCCAGTTCTTGATCACAGTCTGTGGTACTGAGGTAGTCCTGGATTTGCTGGAAAAGCATCAGATTTCAGAGATTGGGGCCTTACCCTGGCTTACTCGACAGAAAAAGGAAATGGAAGAACTATCTTCAAAGATCATCATTTTGTGTTCTCGGGGCACCCGGGCCAAATGGCAGGCTATGCTTGGGAAGGAGGGAACAGCTGTGTGTCTCAAGCAAGATCAATGGCAGCCTACTGGAGACATGTTCACGCCAGCCTTGAATTTGATCCTGCCAGACTTCAAGAAGCCGGCTTGTTTTGGCATGTATATAGTTTGCTATTTTGAGGGCATCAGTGAGGATAAGGATATTCCTGACCCATTCAATGTCACATCCAAGTACCAGCTGATGGACAGGTTTGAGGACATTTATTTCCTGATCCAGGATATGGAGAAGTTCGAACCAGGGCGGATCCATCAAATCCGGGAGATCACTGCTGAAAACTACGCTGAAAATTCCAATGGCTGGAAGTTGAAGGAGGCAGTACAGACATTCCAGGAATGGCAGACAAAGCACCCTGATTGGTTTGAGAGAGAGACCACATGCTCAGAAGATGAGGAGGACCTGCAGTCTCTGGATAGGGAAATACCAGAGGAATTAATGCTGGGTAATGAACAGGTAATTATGAAACAGCAGCTGCATGTTCAAGAGCCTGATCCCAATGGCTGTTGCACAGTTATCCTCCATGTGAATGAAGATGAGGGTGAAAGTTTTAAACTGCAGCCTCAGCTTAATCCCCAGGGGGATCCAACTTTCCAGACCCTGATGATTCCCGTGGATGAGGCACCTCCAGTTCAGATGGTGGAACCAATTTCTGTTACAGGAGGTAAAAATGCAACTAGTCATCAGGTGCTGACCAACATGGATTGGATGGAAGGAATCCCTCTGCTGGAGACTAGTGTCCCAATGAGGAACAGCATCATCCTTCATGATGATTTTGATGTCCCATCATCAGACAACCAGAGATCTGCAAACCACCTCCCAAATGAAGTGAGGCAGCAGCTGGAGGGGTTAATGTTCTCTCTTTACCAGCAAAGTGTCATTCCTTCTGAGCCATCTCTCTGTCAAGAGGATGCTGAAGAGCAGCAGCAGCAGCAGGTGGTTTTCAATAACCCATACAAAGATCAGAGACAGTCAGTGCAATCAGACCAGGGCTACATCTCCAGATGTTCCCCTTTGCCTCCTGATGATCTGGTGGTGGAAGAGGAAGAGGAGGACCAAGAACAGGAAAACAAGATGCCCCCTCAGTATCTCTCTCCAGAGGTCTTGGACAGTCTAAAGAGCCTCCAACAAAAGCTGCTTTTCCAGGAAATTCAGCAGAAATCTGTCTGGGAGCACATGGGTGAGATGGACACACGTCGTTCTGCAGAGGACTCTTAGACTCTCTGTCCAGGACCATCCCATTTGAAAAATGGGGCTGCAGGGTGGTAGTGTGTATAATTTCAGCACTCTTCTTCAAGCAGTCTCCTCATCCTTGTAAAACAAGTGTCATAGGTTCTAATCAGTAGGAAATCTCTCACTGATGCATATTACCCGGAGGCAGACTTGCCAAGTGCATACAGTATGGTCCACCTACCTATACTTCTTAGAGCACAACTGTTACCTCCCAATCTGTCTCTGATTGGAGGAAGATGACAGCAATGTTAGTCCCCTGCATGTGCTGTGGAGGAATTGGTACTAAATCTGTTACTCCATAAGAAATCTACTGTGTGTAGAATCCACTGTGAACTAATTACAGGCAAATTATTGTGGTCTATCAGGCTGCATCTCTCAGGATGCCTGTCACACCATCATTCCAGCTTATTGTAGAGGACTAAAGTCACAGTTATGGAGGAGAGGGTAAAGACTCTGATTCTGATATCGGAGTTTATGAGCTAAGCTTTATTGTAAATGCTGTAGTAAGTAATTTATGCCTCAGATCACAACCAGTGATGACTAGGGCCCTACCAAATTCACTGTCCATTATGGTCAATTTCACGGCCATAGGATTTGAAGATTGGTAAATTTCACATTTTCAGATGTTTAAATCTGAAATTTCACAGTGTTGTAACTGTGGGGGTCCCGACCCAAAAGGGGCTTGGGGGGAAGTGGGGAGGGGGCCGTGTTGCAAACCTGTAGTAGGGGAGATCATGGGATTGTCACCCTCACTTCTGTGCTGCCTTCAGAGCTGGACTGTCCGTCCTCTGCCCAGTCAGAGGTAGGCGCCCTCTTTGCTGGGGTGCTCCCAACAGCACACGGCAGATCGGACACAACTCCATAAGCCTCCTCCAGCTGAGACTTGTGGACATAACTCCACAAGTCTCCTCCCCACCCCTCGCCCCAGAGCAGCTGTGCAGGAGGAGATGGACATGTCCTGTTCCTCCCCTGCCCAGCTGGAGCGAAGAGCCCCCTTTGCTGGGGCGCTCCTAGGAACAAGGGAACATCGGATTTCACGGGGAAGGGCGGATTTCACGGTCCGTGACATGTTTTTCACAAACGTGAAATTGATAGGGTCCTAGTGATGACAGATCCCAGTAGACCCACCTGGGTGCTGGGATTTTCTAATGTATTACACACGTTGGCATCGCCATACCTGCCTGGCCATTAAGCAGTGTAGCAGGATGCTGAGCAGTAATTGGGATGAACGTTTTTAAGTGGGTAGTTTTATCTCTTTGGTACTTTCCCCTCAACCCATGATGAGTGGAAGGCACTTGAAAAGCAGCGACACCAAAAGAAACGTAAGCTTGGTGGTCAGAAAATGGACTAGGAGCTTGCAGTACAATTACAGCGGGAAAAAGAATGGGGTTTAGGGCTGCATACGGTCTTCACCGCATAGATCCGGAAGGAAATGGGTTTTTTCTGGTGCACTGATAGTACCAGCCAGGATATTGTGTTCGTTTCTGGGCATCTCAATATCAGGAAGATTTTCAAATTGGAGAGATGGTGAGAAAAGCAATAAACACAATTAAGGGTCTGAAAGACTGTTTGGAAGAAAAAAGTGGTAGTAAACAGGGCTGTCAATCACATGTAATGCCTGTGATTAACTGAAAACAAAATTAACACGTTAAGCCCATAGCAGGGAAGCTGAAGAAGCCTCAGCCTGCAGTTCCATGGGCAACAGGGGAGGGATTAAAGAAGTCCCAGACTGCAGCTTCCCGGGCAGTTGGGGAGGGGTTGAAGAAATCCAAGCCCACAGCTTCCCAGGCAGCAAGAGGGCTGGAGCCCTGCACCCTGAGGGGGCATGGGCAGTGGGTTGCATAGGCAGGGGGAGGCTGTGCCTCCCCAAACAGCCAGGCATGGCCCTACCCTCTGCTTACCATTGCTCCCTGCATGCAGCTCCAGTGCTCCGGCTGGGGCCGCCCACCTTCCCGCGCTCTGGGGCTGGAGGGAGGTGTGGCCACCCGTGCTCTGGCTCTGGGTGGGCTGGGGCCATGCTCCACCTGCCTTCCTGGTGCTCTGGGGTGGGGCTGTGGCCGCCCGCGCTGGTGGGCTAGCCTGGGGCAGGACTGGGCTGATGGCTGCGGGGGGGTGGGGGGTAATGCTCAGCTCCGGCAGGAGGGCAAAAGGCAGGGGGGCCTCAGGCAGAAGGGGTGGGGCTGAGAGCTAGTCTTGCCCAGCCAGCGGTTCACGTGCTGCCCATGCAAGGGGGGGGCTGAAGCACCGAGCAGGACAGAAGCCCAGAGCCCCCAGCCCTGATCCTATATTTGAAAATATACTAAAACCCCAAAAATATTTACATAAATGGCATTCTGATATTGTTTAATAGTGTGATTTTAAACTGCAGTTAATCTCAGTTAATGTTTTTAATCACTTGACAGCCCTGGTAGTAAGCATAGCTTGACCATACGTTGCCCAAGGGTGGGGAATATAACCAACAAGTGAAGGATGCTGGAGTGAAACCAATGTAAGATGATCCCTGGAGATGTAACTACTGTTAACGTAAATTTGAACAAAGGAAATTCAGTCTAAACATTGAGAAACATTTGCGGGTAGTGCAGACTGCGGAGTCATCTCCCACAAGTTGTGCTGGAAACTCCCTCAATTGAGCGATTTCAAAACTGGTTTTAACGAACTAGGAGAACACTGTGCAGCGAACAATCCAGCATTGTCCCTTGTGGGATGGGCTAGATGGTTTACTTTTCTAATTTATAAAGCTGGAGATTACCCCAGGCACTGTGGCAGCTTGTTTAACTCAGGCAACCAGGGAATGCCTTTTTGAGGAGTAAAAGCCCCCAACCCAAACTGCCTTTTTTCCTCTCCCCTTTTGGGATCATACAAGACTGCAGCCTTTCCACCTTGCTAATTGCACATGTGTCGGACAACAAGATGTAATCTTAGGTCTTGCATCTACGTGAAGCATTTTTCCATTCCTGAGATGGCAAACTGATTTTCTTCAGCCTATGCTTATTATATCTTAACAACTTCAAGTATTTTCTTTTTATATGCTTTATACACTGGCTTTTCAAATGAAAGTTTTGAGTAGCTATTACTCCACATTGCCACTTCTGACTATGCAACCAATGTGACGATATATTTTTATAACTGATTGTATCTAGTTTTTTTCTAATTTTCTTTTTTAATTAAAGGAATAATATACTTTCAGAAGATTTACACTGAAATGATTAAAGGATCTAGAATGTCCTCCCTTCATTTGATTTTCACCTATGCAGGACACTTCCCCCTAGAACTCAAACCAAAGCACTGAAGTATGAAATTGAGCCAGTCATGAAATGCTAAAATGTTTAGGAAAAGGGGTGCCACCTGGGAGGAAGGAGAGGGAGGGAAACCCCTCCTTGAAAGTTGCCTTCCTCACAAAAATACTTGCCTGCAGCAGTCAAAATCTGTCTGTGGGATTTGGTTGGCTGAATGTAGGACCATCAGCATCCTATACTGTCTCATCTGTGCCTGTACAGCCACAAAGCAGCAAACAGAAAAATTCCTGCAAATAACCATGTTCAGGACCAGGAGCGATCTTCATTTTATGTTGTGTATAGGACCAAACGTGTGGGTTGGGGCTAAACAAATAAATAGTACTGAGCTCAACATGCTCTACGATCATTTATCCCTATGACCACTGAGGGGGAAATAAGTGTTACCGCTCTTAGAGATGTGGAAAGTAAGGTGCCAGAGGTGCCTTTTTTAATGCTTTTGTTTCATTGTAAGCCTGTGAAGATTTCACAATTACCTGTCTAGTTTTTGTTTGTTTTGGTAAGTCCTTTTCAAGTAATATCTTAATGTGCTGAGCTCAGAATAGAAGTGCTGCCTGAACTGGGTTCTTGACTTGCTTATACCCTTCTCAAGTAGTTGTCCTTTTGGCTTGAAATTTCTTATTTGTTTCTGAGTGAGGAAGTGAAGGTTGAAGAAAATCCATTGTTGCTTTTAAGTAATCAGGGAGGGCAAATAGTTTGAACATTTTAATGTAAACTGTTGGCATTTAGTTTGTGAACGTGCCCTGCAATACCCAAATCACTACACTGATAAGAAACTCAAAGGGAAACACACACACTTGGTCACAAATGTCTAATTTTATTTTAAGAACAATCTCATTTATTAAAAAATACAAACTCAGATTGATGTTAGTGGGGATGCCAAGCCTCCTAGTGCCCCAGGCTATATGTTTTCTCTACTTTCATTTTCCCCTCTTAGGTCACCTCTTACTGTTTGCTAGCCTCTTAAATGAGTGGCCTGGACAGAACAACTCCTCTCCTAACCAGCTGAATTCTGGTGCAGGGGTAATTTGCATACTAGTGTATGACAGAGTGGATGCTTAGAGGCCTTTATCTTCATACGGCAGATTGTGGTTTAGCAAAATTATTCACTTAAGCCAATACTTAGAGTAGGGTGGCTAGATGTGGGCAAAGAAGGGGGCCTGCATATAAGGTGGGGTGGGAGCATAATTTTCAAATTGTGAATATACCCATTCAGCAGACCAAGGTGGGGGGGATTTAAAAAGAGGGGAGTTGCAGAAAGCTATGGCAGGCTTGTAAACAGAAAAGAAATTTAAGAGCTTTAATATTTAGGTCTTGTTTCATAAGTGGTAATACAGCTGCCAATTTTGACTTCAAGGTGCTTCCGTCAAGTCAGATATACTACCAAACCTGCATGTTAGCCAAACTGCTGCTATTTAGGTTGGCGGTGGGAGGAGATCAGGACACAATGGCAGGTACTATGAACAACTCCATATACTAAAGAGAATAAAACTTCTACAGAGCCATCTATAGCAAAATATATATATTCTGGACCTCTTCAGTATGCTCAACTCTACTGTGAAGCAGAGAACAAATGTAACCTTAAGAGTTATGCACTGCTTATGAAATCTTGTCATGTTGATACTAGATTTAAAAAAACCTGTCAACTGACTAGTTAAATGTCCAATATGCCATTTTCACACCAGTGTCTGTTAGATGAGGGAAGGCACTTGCTATTGAAACAGCAGTTCCATTGCAATTGATATCTAAGGTGAAGTAGTATCAAAGTCAGGGTTATATTAACAATTCTGCTGTGACTTCTACTGTCTGAGCTGAATGAATATGTGCCAGTGACTCAGAGGGGCCAAATTCTTTGGGTTTTGTATGCAAGTTTAAGAACAGCAAAGTTTAGTTCTGGGTAAGGCAGCTTTTCTCTCCACCTCTTTTTGGTAAGTTGGCCTACTCTACAACGTGGCTGTTTGACAACAGGGAGTGGAGTACTCTTAGTTTAGGGTACTGATTCATTATTGTTTGAATGGTATGTTGGTTTGTTCTTTGCGTATATTAGTTTTCTGTTTAATATTGCCTATTTTGTTGGGGGAGTCCCGATATGCATGCAGGCACACCTGCCAATTCTTCCTTTTGGCCAGGAAGCTAGCATCCCCTTGACATATCTCAGGTCACGGAGGAAAAGTCCACAGTACTTAGTTTTACAATCACAGTCACTCACAGCACCAAGATTGTCCAGACAAATAAAAAGTTACTGAAGAGAAGGCTATGGGCCAGAATTAACACCATTGCCCTTAACAAGCATTCTGTTCAGGGCTCAGATAAAAATAAAGCACTGGTGGGAAAATTAAGCCTAGTTCTTTGCAGCTACATCTCCCATTGTCTGTTCTTCCCAAGCCAATTACCCCTAGCAGCTGCAGCTCTAACAGATGAGCACTTTAGACCTGCCCTTCCTGAGCCAGAGCTGGGGACTGCCATGGTGCTAGGGACAGAAGAGCCTAATGGCAACTACACAGTTCCACCCATGGGAAGCAAGGGAAAAGTCCTCAGCCTGTAAACATTGTGTAATAGCAGTGCCTCAGTGAGCAGGACATCCACCCTGCTCTGAGAGCAGGGAGGTAGTGGCAGAAGTTCTGGTGCTAGGGCCATGACTTCCACTGAAGCCCAAGGGTCGAAGGGAGGAATGTATGTACACGTATGGGGAAAGTCCCAAGGGCGGTGTATAGGTCTGGCACAGGCTTTGGATAGTGGTTGTTCCCTCTTCTAACTGGACAGGACAGGGAATTCTAACCCTTCCTCCATGAGTGCAGTCCTATCAAAGAGCAGCTCTGAGGAGGAAAAGTTACCCTTCAAACCCTGGCTGGTCTTACTTCAGTTCCCCTGGTTCCAGAGGCAGCTACAGATAGGTAACAGGTCTTGCCCTAAACTGGGCCAAACTGGTTCATGGAACTTTAAAAATTAAGGACAGCTGCATTTCAACAAGACCAAGTGCTTTACAATTGACCCCTCTACCCTCGCACACATGGAGAACAGTGTTGTGATATGGTAGGTTGCACCAAAGTGTGTGAGATACACCCTAGGACCCTTTCACAGGGGGCTCATTGTAGCACTTCACTTTCCATGTCTGGACATTAAATGAAGTGCAGCACCTAGCCCAATCCAAGGAGCACCAAGGTTCCCCTGCTGGGGTAGAGGGGAACAGTTCACAGGCTTCATCCTCAGCTCTAGGGGTAGAGTGTCCATGTACCTACAGCTAGTCTTCCCAGCCTGTCTAATCTCAATGGAGGGAGCCCTTACTGTCCACATAAGAAATAAACACTGATCCTTAAAACATGCATATCCACAGAAAAACAAGACCCCCCAACACACAAATGCTGCTTGAACAAGCAGGCGACCCTGTTCTCACCGGAAATAAACATCTCAATCTGGAGGGGCTTTAGGACCTGAGTCATGTCCGTTTCAGACTCACTTGTCTCTTTAGCACATAAAGTCAGCACAAGATGCAACAAGATTCAAGCACAGAGGTAGACATTTTCAACAAGGGGAAGGGTGGTTCCCAGGATGGCTCCCCTTGAAATTTGCTGGTCACCACCCTAGTCAGAGAAACTCCCCCAATTGGGGGTTCCAAGTCTCTTCCTCATTTCACCTCAGTGGGTGGAAAACAGAGGTGGTACCTTTGCAGGATACAAGCTTAAAAGCAAACCTCCTCTTTGTGGTCACGTGCATGCAAGGAGGTCTCATCACCACTTAGTCTCTGCTAAAGTCTCCCATCATGATCATCAGGAGCTGTCAAAACAATCCACTGGTCTCCATTGCTAGGTGCTGAGGAATAATGAAGAAACAATGAAACCCACGTTGCCACTGAAGGACATGATGCAAACATGATATGGCACACAAAGGAGGAAATAGACACCACAAAAGGTGCAGAGGCTTGCAAGGACAAGCGTACTTTCCTGGGAAAAGCTTCTGCGTTATTCCCCAGAGATAGGAAGTATGATCTCTGGGTAGACTCCACTGATGGATTTGTTCAGGGAAAAGGGAAAGAGAAATGAGTGTTAAACTAAAAAAACCAGTGTCCCTCCCCTGCTCTTAATTGCAATGTCAGTGATATGGGGACCCTGAGCAGCAGGCAGAGCAGTTCTGCCAGGGAGATGAATAACTTCCCCTTGTGTAATGGCAGAATTGCTCGGTGACTTTCAGCTGCATGGGGAGCAGCTTTGTCGGCCAGGAGCAAAGGACTGGTACGGAAAAGCTGACCAGTTTAGTAGTAGGTAGATAAGGCAGGGGATGGTTGGGGAACCTCCCTCTACCCTGTGATCTCTGGGAGGTGGGTATCCCCCTCTTTATTCCCCAGTCCCCATAGGCAGTAGTGTTAGGAGGCCTCTCAGAGACAGGGGAACAGTAAAGAGATCAGCTCCCAAGGCTGGGGAGGAGGCAGAGGCGTGTGGATCTCCCTTGTCTGTGCAAGGAGGTTGAGTTTATGAGGGCAGCCAGGGGGACAGGTTTAGCTGCGTAATTTCCCTCTCTCCTCCATTCTGGAAAGTCGAGCTTTCGTAGAATATCAGGGTTGGAAGGGACCGCAGGAGGTCATCTAGTCCAACCCCCTGCTCAAAGCAGGACCAATCCCCAATTTTTGCTCCAGATCCCTAAATGGCCCCCTCAAGGATTGACCTCACAACCCTGGGTTTAGCAGGCCAATGCTCAAAGAGCTCCCAAGATTAGGCAAGGGGTAGAGTTTAGGGGGCAAGGATAGGTATGGGGGGGGGGAAACCTTTCCCTGCAACACTATGTGGCCAGCCCATAATACTGGTACAGAAACAAGGAGGTTGGTAGTAAGTGCAGAGGTCAGTGCTGGTTATGTAGAAGAGAGGGCTTGGGGTACGGGTATGCAGGGCAAGGGATGGAGTTATGGTCTGGTAAGATTAAGCCCTCTATCCATCCCTATTGCTTAGGGTCAGGTGTGAGTAGATGGCAAAGTGGGGTCGGAGGGGGCAGGTGAATAGAGGGGTGGGATGAGGGGGCAGGGTTCCTGGGTGGGGGCTAGTGGAGGGGCAGGTGAGGAGGGGGCAGGGTTCCTGGCCGGGGATGGCAGAGGGGGCCGGGCTCCTGGCCGGGGGCGGCGCAGGAGCCGGAGGGCTATACCGCCTCCCCGCCCCGCGCCCCGGTTCAGTTCTGGGCGCTGACCGCCAGGGTGTTGACGTAGCCGTGGGGCCCCACGTCGTTCTCGGAGATGCAGTGGCTGAGCTGGGCGACGCCGGGCCCCGGGCCAGGGGCCGCGCTGTACTTGGCGCCCCCGGCGGCGGGGCGGAGCAGGCAGCAGGTCTCCATGGCCTCGAGGCCGCGGCAGGCCAGGAAGAAGAGGTTCTTGAGCATGAAGACGGAGAGCGGCTGCTGGTAGCGCAGCAGCAGGAGGCAGCGCAGGGCGAGCAGCGGCGCGTCCAGCAGCCCGGCGGGCAGCAGCAGGTGCAGGGCCAGGCGGGCGGCGCCGGGCGGCCGGGCGGCGCTGAGCTCGTAGAGCCAGAGCACGGGCGAGGCCAGGCAGAGGAAGTAGACGGCGATGAGCAGGTAGCGCAGCGGGCCGGGCAGCGGGGCCGGGTGGCCGGGCTGCAGCACCAGCTCCAGCAGGGTGAAGCTGTCCAGCAGGTCGAGGCAGGTGGCCAGGAAGGCGGCGGCGGCGCGGTGCTGGGGTGGGGGCTGGGCCGGCAGCAGCAGCTGGCCGGCGCCGTCGGGGCCGATGGCCCGCAGCAGGCAGTAGAGCAGCGGGGCGGAGAGCGCCAGGGTGACGCGGAAGCCGGTGATGCCCAGCGGCAGGCGCAGCTCGATCAGCTCCAGGATGGAGGTGCCCAGGATCAGCGCCGCCTTGGGGGTGAAGGCGATGGAGTAGATCAGCCAGGCCAGGTGCGCGTAGGCGAAGTCCCCGCCCCGCAGGGGGCCCCCAGCCCGGCCCGCGCCCCGGCCGCCGTGCGGGGGGTGCAGCAGCAGCGGGTGCAGCGGCGGGGGCGGAGGGTGACCCGGCGGGGGGCGCTCCCGGCGCCGGGCCCGGCTGTTGCGGCAGAAGAAGATGCCCCAGCCGGCGGCCAGCACCAGGTCGGTGGCGATCCAGCTGCACCAGTAGAGGTCGGTGACGGCGATCAGGTAAAGGTCCAGCAGCGCGCCCTGCCCCAGCAGCAGCACCAGGGACAGCGCCTTGTAGCCCCAGCGCGACCCGCCGGAGCCCCCGCCCGGCCACAGCAGCCCTCCGGCGGTGGCCGCCGCCGCCCCCCCGGCCGGGCCCGCGCCCCCGTACAGCTCCCCCGCCGTCATGCTGCAGCCCGAGCTGCTGCTGCTGGAGGCCGGGGAGGAGGCGGCGGGGGCCGGCGCGGCCGGGGCCGGCACCAGGGGTTTGCTGATGCTCTCCTCCTCCTCCTCGCCGCCGCTGCTGCTGCTGCTGCGGGCCCGGGCCGAGCCCGAGCTGGAGCCCGACACGCGCCGGCTGCGGCCGCCCAGGAAGAGGGGCTGCAGGTCGGCGGCGGGGTGAGCAGGGGGCGGCGGCGGCTGGAAGGAGCCGGAGGAGGAGGAGGAGGAGGAACCCGAGCGCTGGTTGGAGACAGCTCGGTGCATTGTCCTCCCCGGCCCCAGAGCGAGGGGCCCGGGCCCCGGCCGCGCCCAGCCCCGGCCGGCGGCACCGAGGGTTGGGGACAGCGGCTGGCGGGGGCCAGCGAGAGCGGAGACCCGGCCTGGATCCGCCGCAGTCCCGGAGCGGCTCCACGGGCGAGAAGCGGACTCCGGCGAACGCGGCGGCGGCGGCGGCTCCACGCGCGAGAGAGGCGGGGAGCTGCCAGGGGGCACGCGGGGGGCGGGGAGAGGTGGAACGAGGAGACTCCCCGAGTGAGTGGCGGGGAAGCTGAAGCAAGACTGAGCCGTCTCCGGCAGCTCGGGGGGGTGGGCTAGCGCGGAGAGAGGCTGTGCAGCCGGGAGGCTGGGCCTGGGCCCCCCGGAGCAGAAGTGTGTCCTGAGCCCAGGGTCAGTGCCTGAGCCCCCGGGGAGAGGAACCCCCCCCATCGGGCTTGCTGGGACCACAAACGCTGCACATTTCTCCCCTTGGTCCAAGGCGGGCAACTGACCAAAAAGGGCCAGCTGGTGGTGGCTAAGCAGGACTTCAAGCCTCTCGAGGCCAGTGCTCAATGCTACATCCCTATTACTGATAAAGAAAGTCAAACCACCTTATACCCAGTAGTCACTGCTGGCAATGCATATGAAATACCTCCTGCTATATTGTTTAAGCAACGTCCATGTTTCAGATCCATGTAAGAGGGTCGGAAGTACACAGGATTGATAAATCCATGCTTTTGTATATCATTTCACCTTCTTTTGGTGCCAGACCCAATGCAGGTTCTTCCTGGCTGAGGCTGTTAAACCAAGTCTCCTTAAGGTAGCTGTGCTCATTTGATGATAGTTCACGTCCGATAGATGAAGTCCATCTACTATTGCCACTGTTTTTCTAGGAGCACAGATGCTTTCAATCACAACTTTTGCACCAACATTCTGCATTTTTGTTTTTGCCCAAGAAACCCTTAGCCCAAGGGCAGCTGCCTTATGCTGGTAGCTTTCTAGTGCTTTGAGATAATTTTTGCGTTACCATCTTTGGTCACAACACATCAGCCATGTCAGTAAAAGAGCTTGAACCAATTGTTGAGCTTTGGTTTAGGTTTGACACTAGGGCTGGGTTGAAGCAGGGATATGACCTGGTCCTCAGCCCTGTTCTGCTGTACAAAGGATTGGCGCCTTGAACATATCACTGCAAATATTGGTATAACTGTCAGGGCAACCACATGACAAGCTTGTCTTAAATTACTTGTATAGCCCACAAGCACATTGAAATCTGTCCGGAGCAAGGACCCACTCCAGCAGCTTTTTCTCATAGGTGAAGGGAAAAAGAGGGCACCTTAGAGCTGCCAGGCAGTGGTGTAGTGTTACAGAAAGAAGTGAGTCAAGTACACGCCCTATTTCTCAAGTAAGTAGTGGGGTTACCCTAGTTTCTCCTCCCTACACGACCGCTGCAACATTTCGTTTGAAGACACACAATAAAAGGATTTCACCCAGCTCAAGCTTCCTTAAATGAGGGCCAAACTCACTTTTTCTGATCAGAAAGTGAGCAGGTCATGCACACCACATTTTGCCCCTCCCACCATGCTCTGTTTTGAGCTGATTAGGCTAAAATGTATGCATTTTCTTTGAGTAGTCACTGCATAGTCACACTTATGGGGATTGATGCCTCCTACTGTGGAATCTTCTGGCCTGCAGTGGTCATTAGGCCCCTCACCCCTCCACAAGGCTGCCCAGGGTAAAGGGGATGGGGAGTGTTCCCAAGCACCGCTCAGTTTCTCTGTAACCTCTGAAGGTGCAGTGAGCTGATACTCTTCCTCATCAGTTTTCTGTCTTCCTTTTCGTCTGTCCTCGCAGGACTATTTTTGGTCCCGTTAGACTGTTCGTCTAGATAAAGACATTTATAGTACTATACTTGCCAAAGAGGAAATGCTACTTAGCCAGCATGAGACTCATCTGGACCCACAGATGCAAGAGGACCATCTCACAAACCGCAATGGTTGAGGGAGGCTCCCCAGGCCCATTCAACTAATTCTGGCAATGTGTAAGTCTAGCATAGACTTTAGAGCTCTACTAGCTTAAGTGGCTGTGTGCTTGGTTTAAGCAGTGGCCTGGTCCCTGGATTTTATCCAGCTGACTGAACCTAGCACTGAGATTCTGGCACAGTCAACACAGCCCCAAGGTCCCCAGATTCCTCTAAGCCATCATAGCTTAGTGCCAAGGTGCCTGTACCAAAATGGCAGCAAAGTATCCAGCTCTATCCAAGCTAGTGCCAAGGTTCTGACTCTAGTGAAGTCATTCGGTGCCCACCATGAGTGTCACTAAGGCCCCCAGATCCATCCAACCTGAGTCCAGAGCTGGCACCATGCTCTCTAGTGAGCCACTTGATGAAATGGTTTGCTGCCCATTATATACAGCATACTGAAATAGTTCTGGGGACTTTGAGTCAAGGTTTGTCAGGGTTCCTTCCCCACTCTGAACTCTAGGGTACAGATGTGGGGACCTGCATGAAAACCTCCTAAGCTTACTTTCAGCAGCTTAGTTTAAAACTTCCAAGGTACAAATTAATTTTATCCTTTGACCCTGGATTTCCACTGCCACCACCAAACTTTAAGTGGGTTTACTGGGAAACGTAATTTAGACATGTCTTTCCCCCCAAAATCCTCCCAACCTTCGCACCCCACTTCCTGGGGAAGGTTTGGTAAAAATCCTCACCAATTTGCATAGGTGACCACAGACCCAAACCCTTGGATCTGAGAACAATGAAAAAGCATTCAGTTTTCTTACAAGAAGACTTAACAGAAGTAAAGGAATCAGCTCTGTAAAATCAGGATGGTAGATACCTTACAGGGTAATTAAATTCAAAACACAGAGAATCCCTCTAGGCAAAACCTTAAGTTACAAAAAAGGTACACAGACAGGAATAGTCATTCTATTCAGCACAGTTCTTTTCTCAGCCATTTAAAGAAATCATAATCTAACACATACCTAGCTAGATTACTTACTAAAAGTTCTAAGACTCCATTCCTGTTCTGTCCCTGGCAAAAGCAGCATATAGACAGACACAGACCCTTTGTTTCTCTCCCTCCTCCCAGCTTTTGAAAGTATCTTGTCTCCTCATTGGTCATTTTGGTCAGGTGCCAGCGAGGTTACCTTTAGCTTCTTAACCCTTTACAGGTTAGAGGATTTTTCCTCTGACCAGGAGGGATTTTTAAAGGGGTTTACCCTTCCCTTTATATTTCTGACACGCCCCCCCCAAATCTCAGCTAGGGTGAAACGCTGGCTAGGATTTCTTCCTGGAGCTTTAGGAAAACAGAATTAATAAGACACATGCACCTCTAAATATACTACCAAGTACATAAAGACTAACAATATTTTCCACATCTCAAGCACGATTTTAACCAGTTGATTCTGGGAAACTTTCACAGGAGAGTGCATCAGCCACTTTGTTAGAAGCTCCTGAGATGTGTTGGATGTCGAAATCAAAATCTTGGAGAGCTAAACTCCACCGAAGAAGTTTTTTGTTATTTCCCATGGCGGCATGAAGCCACTGTAGCGCTGCATGGTCAGTTTGCAGGTGGAAACACCGTCCCCAAACATATGGGTGTAGCTTTTCCAGGGTGTAGACAATGGCGTAACATTCTTTTTTTCACTGACTGACCAGTTGCTTTCCCTCTCAGACAGTTTTTTGCGGAGAAAGGTGGAATTCTTGATCAGGTCCTTTCTGCATTAAAACTGCTCCCACACCACGCTTGGACGCATCTGTGGTTACTAGGAACGGTTTGTCAAAGTCTGGGGCCCTTAGTATAGGGTCAGACATGAGTGTTGCTTTAAGCTTGTTAAAGACCTTCTGACACGTTTCGGTCCACTGAACGGCATTTGGCTGTTTCTTTTTGGTTAGGTCTGTCAGTGGGGCGGCGATTTGGCTGTATTGCGGTACAAATCGTCTGTAATAACCAGCCAAGCCTAAGAAGGATTGAACCTGTTTCTTTGACTTTGGGACAGGCCACTTTTGGATAGCATCCACTTTGGCCTGTAGGCTGACAGTTCCTTGACCCACCTTGTGTCCAAGGTAAGTCACTCTGTTTAGGCCTATTTGACACTTCTTAGCCTTAACAGTTAGTCCTCCCTCCCTTATGCGCTCAAGGACTTTTTTTAGATGTTCCAGGTGTTCTGCCCAGGAATCTGAAAATATGGCAACATCATCAAGGTAGGCGATGGCATATTCTCCTAATCCTGCTAGGAGACCATCAACAAGTCTTTGGAAGGTGGCGAGATGTGTGGTGAAGGCTGACCTTTCCTTGGCGGATTCATCTAGCGGTACCTGCCAGTACCCCTTGGTTAAGTCCAAGGTAGAGATGAACTGGGCCCGTCCCAGTTTCTCTAATAGTTCATCTGTGCATGGCATTGGATAGTTGCCTGGGCGAGTTACAGCATTTAGCTTACAGTAGTCCACGCAAAAACATATCTCCCCATCTGGTTTGGGAACTAGAACCACTGGAGATGCCCATTAACTTCCAGAGGGGCGGATTACACCCATCTGTAACATATCCTGGATCTCCCGGTCTATAGCAGTTTTAGCTTGAGGAGACACCCGGTAAGGGTGGACCCTAATTGGGTGAGCATTACCTGTGTCAATGGAGTGGTATGCCCGTTCAGTCAGTCCTGGGGTGGCTGAGAACGTTGGCGCATACCTAGTGCACAGCTCCTTGATCTGCTGTCGCTGCATACACCCAAGGGTCATGGAGAGGTTCACCTCTTCCACACCACCAGCACTTTTCCCTTCGTAGTAGACACCTTCAGGCCACTCAGCGTCCTCTCCTCCCTGGGCTGTAAACTGACAAACCTTTAATTCTCTGGAATAAAAGGGCTTTAGAGAATTAATATGGTACACCTTAGGCTTTCGGTTGGAGGTAGGGAATGCTATGAGATAATTAACAGCTCCCAGGCGCTCCTGGACCGTGAATGGCCCGTCCCACGATTCTTCCATTTTATGGGCCTGGAGCGCCTTTAAGACCATGACCTGGTCCCCTACTTTGAAGGAACGCTCTCTGGCATGTTTATCATACCAGGCTTTTTGCTCTTTTTGAGCATCCTGTAAATTTTCTTTACCAAGGGCTAAAGAGGTTCGGAGGGTGTTTTGTAGGTTGGTTACAAAGTTCAGAATGTTAGTTCCTGGAGAAGGTGTAAATCCCTCCCATTGCTGCTTCACCAACTGTAATGGCCCCTTAACCTCACGGCCATATACAAGTTCACATGGGGAAAGCCCTAAACTGGGATGTGGTACAGCTCTGTAGGCAAAGAGCAACTGCTGCAATACTAGGTCCCAATCATTGGAATGCTCATTTACGAATTTACGTATCATGGCCCCCAAAGTTCCATTAAACTTCTCCACCATGCCATTTGTTTGATGGTGGTAAGGAGTGGCAACCAAGTGATTTACCCCATGAGCTTCCCAGAGGTTTTCCATAGTTCCTGCCAGGAAATTAGTCCCTGCATCTGTGAGGATGTCGGAGGGCCAACCTACCCTGGCAAAAATGTCTGCTAGTGCCTGGCACACACTTTTAGCCCTGGTGTTGCTTAGAGCTACTGCTTCCGGCCATCGGGTGGCAAAATCCATGAAAGTCAGTATGTACTGCTTTCCTCTGGGTGTCTTTTTTGGAAAAGGACCCAGAATATCCACAGCTACTAACTGAAATGGAACTTCAATGATGGGGAGTGGCTGGAGAGGGGCTTTGACCTGGTCTTGGGGTTTTCCCACCCTTTGGCATACTTCACAAGATCAGACATAGGTAGAAACATCCTTGCCCGTTCCCTCCCAGTGGAATGACCCCCCCAAACGGTCTTTGGTCCTGTTCACCCCAGCATGGCCACTAGGGTGATCGTGGGCTAAGCTCAAGAGCTTGGCCCGGTATTTAGTTGGAAATACCAACTGTCTCTGAGGATGCCAGTCTTCCTGGTGTCCACCAGAAAGTTTCCTTGTATAAAAGTCCTCTTTCTACAACAAACCTGGATCGATTAGAAGAGCTGAGAGGCGGTGGGTTGCTCCGTGCCGCCATCCAAGCTCTCTGGAGGCTTTCATCTGTTTCCTGTTCGGTCTGGAACTGTTCCCTTGATGCTGGAGACATCAGTTCCTCATTGGATTGTGGACCTATGCTTGGTCCCTCTGGAAGCGATGTAGGGGATGGGGCTGTTTCCGTTGACTGTGAACCACTCTCCGC